AAGTAATAAATGAATGTCTGATCTGAGTCCACCTCACAATAGGACCATTGGGACCCAACCCTCACCTGGTCACCATTTTCTAGGTTCCTGAGTGGATACCTGGAACGGGTACTCTTGGAAGCTGCAGACTGTTCACCCAGACCCACGGACAGGGGCTGTTACACTGAGATAAACAGGTGGAGGCCATTGGGTTTATATCTCTACAAAAATATTCAAATAAAAATGCACACCAAATTCTCGGAGGAATGACAGAGATTGGTGCCATTATCACGGCTCGAGGGAGGCAAGAGTAATCATTCCCATGACACCCTATTCACCTCTCCAGTTGCCAGCCCCAGCCAGAGATGTGTCCTGGACAACAGTGGCTGGGAGCTCATAAACCTACGTGGATGAAACTCCAATGGAAATTGCCATCTCTAAGAGGTCCTTGTTAATGTAGGAAATAAATACAGCCTTTGACTCTTGGTACGTAGCGATCAGTCTTCTTGGTGGCAAGCAAAGACACCAAACCTAGTTTCTTAGTGGGAAAAAACGGAAATTTATTGGAGAAGTATCAGAGTTCCCCCAAATTGGCAGGAGATTGGAGACCAGGCTTGGAAAATAAGCATAACCAAGGCAGCTCCATGGTGTCAAAGGCGGGGAGAAAAGAATCCTCTTTGTCAGGAGGCGTATGGTCAGGATGCTGCCTCTGCCACTCTGAGATATTATCCCAGCTGGGGTAGGGCACAGCCTCTCCGTTCACCATAGCCCTCTTGGACAGTCACTGAGAATTGGTTTTAAGCATCTATGGTCTTTGCTTCACTTGCTCCAGATTCTGGATCCCAGGTGGAATCAGCCAATAAATCAAGCTGGATCTTGGGTATGAGCCTGGATGCCAGAGAAGGAAGAATCTGGTCTTTCTGGCTTCCGCATACAGAGAATGTCAGGACTATACATGGTGGGAAATCCCCCTACTAAGAAGACAGCAGTTCCCTGTGAAACAAGTCCGTCACATCCAGGGGCCTCAGATGTTGACATCTCTGACTGTAGGAGACAGAAAGTGAACTCCAATTTGCAAAAACTAAATAGAGGCATCACTGAAAGGTCCAGAAAGGCCAAATTCAAGTGCTTAAAGCGTGTCATCAGTGCCCAGCCTCTCTCACATTTGGTTGTGCTTTCTGCCTGACACAGTGGCTTCAGCCAGAACTGGGCTGCCACGAGACACTTCTTAAGTGTGTTCCTGAAGGACATCAGAGAACATCTCGTAGTGTACGCTGCCTGGAAGAAGAGGTGTCCTCAGACCAGATCTGCATTGTTTCTCAGGTAACAGCTAAGGTTCTGGCTAGAAGGTCAGAATTTTAGAAAGAATAAATCTGGAGGCTTGGTGACAAAGATACTTATGGAAGTGGTCTATGGATGGAGCTCTCGGAATGAGCCCAGAGTGGAAAATACTCCTGTCCCATGTGCATGCTCACTAGAAGGTCTCTACTGTCAGAGGCACTGAATAATTGATGAAGAGACCCTTTGTGGCTGCAATTCTTCCCCCTTCCCCCGGCAGCCCAGTGCTTTCAAAACAGGCTCTGTGACAAAATGGCTGATAGAGAGGCTGTGTCTCAGCACATCATACGGGCTGTCCCTCATCCAGGTTGACTTGGAGCTTAAGGAATCTCAGCCCAAAGAAGCAATGGCCATAGATCTGACTCAAATGGTCTGAAGAGGACTCAGCTGAAAGAAAACACCTTGAGAGGTTGAATGCTGCCTCATAGGATGTGTGATGCTCTAAATCCATACTCAGTTTTTAGTGCATTTTCTCCCATAGCCGTAATTTATGGATCTAGGAATTAAGAAGGTAAGACGAGGGTGACAGCTCTCATGCTCATACAGAACACCTACCCTCAAAATTTTTTTTTCAATTCCCGTGACTCTGGAATCTTCTTGTCCAGAGGTGTCAGTACCTAAGAAGGGGATCCCTCTCTCAGGGAACACAAAAACGGTTTCATTGCACCGGCCATAGCTGATTCCTCATGCTTCTCAAGGGGTGGATAACGATCAGCTCACTGGGTTGGATGTGGTGCTTGATCTGGATTATCAAGAGAAATTCATATTATTGCTACACAGTAGGGTAGGGGGAATATAAGTGCAACTCGAGGGATCCCTTAGGATTCCTTCTAGTACTACCAAAACAAGTAGCAAAGGTTACTAGAAAATTCCACAACCCTACTGAGGCAGGACCACCAAGAGGTTCAGCTTCACAAGAATGAATTTGTCCATAGGGAAGAGGAACACTGAGTGAAATGATCATTAAAGGCTCGTATCCGTGGCAGCAATGGTCAATGCAGGTTGTAGCCTCTATTGCACCTCTTCGTTTCCTAAAAATGTTTATATGTGTATGTAAATACACACACATATACACATGCAAAATACTGAGAGAGGAGCTTAATGGAGCAAGAGAAACATTGGCATCATTCCAAGGCCCGCCACTCCATGACACAACTTCAAGATGCAGTAGGTGAAGATTATTTGTGTTTGTCTCCAACCGGGGAAGTGATGAGTGCACTTATTGTTGTAAACGGGATCATTGGATCCATAACAGGGTAAGGAGAGTCATTTTTTTTGTCTGAGAAAAAGAGTGTGTATGTGTGTCTGGTCTCCAAGGGGTTCACTGTATATGGTAGGTGTAAAATCACGTGGCTTCTTGACCTGAGACTCCCCGCAAGGTTTGTGTCCCTGTAACCCATTCCTCTTCCTCATCCCATAGCCTGACTGATTGGTCCAAGAATATAGTCACCCATCCCAAGCTATTCTGTCTCCTGGAATTGGAGATTTCATTCAGAGACACCAGGATTCCAGGTGTTTGAACCTACACCACCTGATGGCAGGACCCTTGAGGGGCAGACCATAACTTTCTAAAGTTGGACCCTCCCTGGTTCCTGTCTTTCCTGACCTGTGCAGATTTTGCCCCTCTTCCCATTCTCTGAACTGCCCCAGCTCCCTTAGAGTGGATCCACTTATGTTGGCCAGACTCAATTTCTGTTGCTTATAACCACAAAGGAATCTCAACTGTGACAAGTGCTACAGTGGAGTTTCATCAAATGTACATGTAGCAAAATGGAAATCCACTATAAGGGTTCAGGGGGAGAAGGATTGCTGGATTACTGAAGGACTCAAGTACTCAGTGCCTGAAACACTCAATGCCCAAGTGACATCTATGCAAGAAAGAGAAATATCCAAGAACTGATGAAGAATTGACAAAGAAGTGAAACACATTGTTCAGGTAACCAAGCAAGCGGGTGGCCGCGACTTTGATGACTTCTTCAGGAAGAAATGGAAATATCCATTGATGGCCTCAGGAATATTTGGCTTTTAGAGAGTTAGAGGGACTGAGGAAAGTCTTCTGCAAGGTGATATGTACAGAAGGACATCCAAGGCACTGGATGCACGTTGAGTGATTCAGGAGACTTTCCGGGATAATTTTGCATGTCCCGTGTCTCTTGCTTCCTGGCCTGGGCTCCAGTCAAGGGAACCTGTTTGACACTTACAAGCTCCACACATGGAGATACAGAGAATCAGCGCCCGCTGGAGCAAGCCCCCGGGGGACGGGAACAATGGGCAAATGCTTCCCTCCTTCCTCCCTGGAGAGGATGATTCTGAGGCCATTCCAGGAAGGCTCCTCAGAAGGTCCTGGCAGACTCAACTGCCCACATGGGTGGCCTTGTCAGGAACGTGTCTTTGTATTGATTTTTCTCTCCTTCTCTGCCCTCCTTCCCCCATCCCTCAGTCCTGCTCCTGGGGATCACTTCCCATATAAACCCTCTGGGAGAGAGCCTTTCCTCCGGCTCTGCCTTCAGGGGACCCAAGTCTACTTTAGGCTGCATGGAGCCTTTAGGCTTTTGTGCAAAGAGTAATGGGGAGCCACTGAAGGGTTGGAAGCAGGTGCTGGATAAGATCTATATTCTTCAGGGTCATTCTGGCCCACTTGATTGATCTCTCAGTGTACCCTGTCCCCAAAGAACACGAGCGACTTGCCAAATGTTTCACCTGCTCTGTTCTCATCACCAACACAGTGTGGAAAATGAGCATGGGGGGCGGGGGGCAGGGGCAAAGCCAGAAGAATAAATACAAGAAGACCATTCTGGAGCTCTTGCAAGAGTCCAGTTGAAAGGTGAGGGTAGCTGGGGTGAGGCTGTTTGCTATCTGGCTGTTTCTCTCTGTCCGTCTGTTTATGGCTGACCCTCTCTCACACCCGCACACAGGTCCTTCTGACCGTAATCAGCCTCACGTGCCACATGACAATCCTGGGTCCCAGCCAATGGATCAGGAACACCCCTGTGCTCAGCACAAGCCAGATGTGCAGAAGCTTTGCCCAGGTGTTACTGTGGGGCAGACGGGGCACTGAGGTCTGAGGGAAAGGACCCGATGGGAGAGTGGGAGCCCAGTGAGCAAGCAGGAGCAGCAATGGAGGACTTGCTTGCTGAGATCCTGGAAGACAGGCTCACGGGGAAGGGAGTCAAGCATCCAGAGCCCAGGTGAGCCCGCCAATCAACACAACGAAGACGCAGTGTATCAGTCCATAGTTATTGAACCCGTCTGTAGAACACGAGACAGGAAGAGCCAGACAGAACCAAAATACCGTCTTGTCCAGCACCAGCACCCCACCGACTGACGAGGAGACTGAGGCTCAGGGAGGCCGTGGCTCTCGACTCAAAGGTGGTCGATCTCCTCAACGCACCACAAGGTTCCTTGACCTGATGCTGGCATCTGGTTTCACTTTCCTTCTCTTTCCCTTTCTTTTTCAAATCAACCACTGTTCCAACACAGCATCTGCAATTTCACTGGAATGTCGTTGATCTCAGTGCACACTGGCCCCAAAGAGCACCAGTGATTTGCTAAATGTTCCACCTACTCTGCTCTCGTCACTACCACAGTCACCGTGACTGTCATCATCAAAAAGTCAGTGCCTAACTGTAACCGAAAGTTCAGTCTCTGAACCCGATGCCAATCCAAATAACGAGAACAGAGTCTTGAGTGGAAGAGGAAAGCCTTTACTATGCCAAGCACAGGGAGTAAAGCAAGGGCTCACATCTTAAAATTGCTAGCTCCCCAATAAGGAACAAGTAGGGATTTTTATTTGGGGTTTTGGGAAGGGGAGGAGGCGCATGTAGCTGTGCGGGCCAGCGTTTTCTCATCAGCCTGCCTTTGGCCTTGAGAGGCTGCTTGTAGTGAGGCGGGGCGCAGGAGGCAGAGCGGGGGAGGGGAGATGGGGGTCAGGGGGAGATGGGATGGTGGGTTAGGAGGATGGCAGGTGGGCATCCTTCTCCTTCTTGTCTTCCAGATTGAGGTGGGTTCGAGTGAGCGTCGAGAGTCGAGGAGCTGAGGTCTGGGAAGCCTCCACTCTTTGATATTCTTGAGACAGCAGTTTTCTTGGCAAACTTCAAGGACACATGGTTAGCTAAACTTTCCTGTGCCTCCAACTCCAGGCCACCTGGGCTTTAGCAACTTGTAACTCCTGTTTGGTCGTAGAGCTCAAGGAGGCAAAGGTTAAGGGAACAGGTATTTACATGTGAGATGAGCTACAGAAGCAGGAACGGGGGTGGTGGCTTTTAGTTTCAACCCCATATATGCTGGGTTCAGCGTAGGGAAACTGCTATCAGGGCTGGTGTCAAGAGCCTTAACATAACTAAGATGAACGCGCTGGAAGACAAAGCTGGGTTGGTCACGAAAAGGCAGGGCTGAAGACCACCACAGGGAAAGACTGCATTCTTGCCGGGAGGTCAAAGCACGGGGAGGGTCAATAGGGGAGCCGGGCTGCTTCTCCAAATTCCAACAATTCTAACGCTCTAGCTTGCTCTTGATTCCAGCTCTGGTATTCTTAGCCTTCTCATTGCTTCTTCCCCCACAGCTCTCTCTCTATCCATGCCCCCAGTGTCTTCTTTAGTGCAAAGTCGAAGGTCTCTCCCTACTCCCCTCACTCCCTATCCCCTCTCCTCCCTTATTCCAGGCTCTGCGCTCCTTCCTTCTCTCTGACCCACCTGCCATCTGCATTAACCCCTCCCTGCTGTGCTCAGCTACAGAAATGCCAAACTTCTTAACACCCAGTCCCTTCAAGTTTATCTTGCCCCATTTTTCCCTCTAACAAGGTACCTCCATGCCTTTGTCCAGCACATGCCCCTGCTTCCTGCACTGCCCTGGGGTCACGGAATGAGGCCCTACTGCAGCCTCTCATGGATCTGGGTGAGCTCCTCCAACTTCCCCTCCAGCTCCCGAGCCTGCTGCCTCAGCTCTTCAGCTGTGTTTGCCTTTGCCCCTTTATGCAAATGCACTGAATCTTGGACAAGGCTGATCACATCCATCAGAAGGGAGACACCCACGGTGGCCACACTTGTGGCCCGGGCTTCTTTGGTCATTGCCAGAACAGTACGTCCAAAAGCTTTCTTCACCTGCTTGTCCCTTCGGCCTGAGATCTTCCCAACAGTCATGAGGCGGTTGGCGTGGTCTACCAAGTGAGGTTTGGTTTTGACTACCTTGATAGCCCTGATGTTCTTCCCAATATTTTCCACGACTTCGATGAAATTCTTTGATATGGAAACAATGTCGGGTGCGCCGTGACGTAGAGTTTCCTTAACTATCTCCCCTTTATTGCTGTCAAATAATGCCAGGCGACTGGCTTCAGCTTCTGCTGACGAGTTGGTTGAATATTCCACGATGCTGGTGGACACACTGGTCACAGCAGCTGCGGCTCCCAGCCCCATCCCAGTTGCCGAGAGTGCCAGACTGACCCCTGCTGTCACGGGTGCCAGAGCCAGGCCAAGGATGGTGAGGATGCCAGCCACAGCGCCAGTGGAGTTGGCCACCACGTTGGAGATGGTGCAGTCCCTGTGTACCTTGTCAACCTTGTCTGCAAGCGCGTGGAGCTTTCCGATGCGCTCCTCAAGCTCCTGTTTCACCCGAGGAAACTCGTTCAGAAACTTCTCCCTGTCCAGTTGGTCTGTGTGCAGCTTGTTCAGACCTTCAGGCAGCGCATCTGCCTCCTCCCTGTAACAACAAAGGTCAAGTGATTAAGCAGGCGGTCTGCTTCTCTGAAAAATGGGCTTGATAAGCTCTCTCCTGCAAAAATCACAGAGCCTTTACTATCCATCAAATGGAAAGGAATTTGACAAATGTAGGCAATTTTTCTTTCAATGTTAAACACATGTTTTGAAAACTGTAGATCCTCCATATACTTGTTAATCAGAGAATTAGTAAGTAAAAATCATCTTCAGATGCTCTTAGGTAGTAAGTATTTGCTAGAGATGATTCTCACTCAAGAACACGTCAACACTATCACTACCAAAGTGTTTGTAGAGTGGGAACTCCATACATGAACAAAGAGTAGGATTGGAGCAGAAGAACCTTCGTTCAGAGACTCTTGGTGCATGGTGAAGAATTAACCTCACCCACAGAGAAGTCTGCCCTTTGCCTTGCCTACTGAGACGTGACCTCTGGCCCCTGGAATGTTCTGACTGATAGGACTGTCTTCATTTGCCTGGGTCTTTGGCCGCTGGACACTCTGACAAGGTGATGCATGATGGGGGCTTTGGGTTTTGTGGTTCTGACCTCTGGAGGAACTGGAGATTAAAGATGTTAATCTGACCTCCAGGAGAGGCTGGAGACCACAGGTCAGCCATGTGGGCAGCATGCGATTAAGTCTCAATAAAAACTCTGTACACTGAAGATCAGGTCAACAAAGACTCTTTTCATGACCGAACTTTACTCAGGTTCCTCTGAGCTGTTTTCTCAGCTAGGCCTTTAACGTGGCCTCCATGTCCTGTCCTTGGCAGGCTGTATCATCCAGGCTTAGAAAGAATCCTACTAAGTCAGTTTAGAGAGAATCTCCCCACTCTTGATATCTGATCACCCTTGAGAGCTGATCATGCTTCTCACCCCCTACCTTTGCTGTGTAAGTTCTTGATCTGCTTTTTGCAAGAATCCCCCTGCCCTTGAAGTCTCCTCTTAGTAATTTTCCATCCATCAACTCACTCATTCTGTGCATTGGCTATAAATCCCCAGCTGTCTCTGGTGAACTCGGAGTTGAGCCCTGTCTCTCTCTCCTCTATTGCGTTAGTCTTGACATGTATAGCAATAGCCCTGAGGAAAGTCTTCCTTACCATTTTAACAAGTCTCAGGATAATGTTTTTTCTTTAACAGAATGAGCTTCCCTGGTTGGCGCACTGTCACACATTGAGTACAGGAGAGTCACGTGTCCTGAGGACAACGGAAGCTTCACGTTTGAGATCCTCCCAGACTCTCCCTAATGCGACTCTTCCTTTGGCTGATTGTACCTGAGTCCCTTTCTCTGTGACAAAGTGTAAAATGAGTATAACAGCTTTCAGTGAGCTCTGTGAATCCTTCTAGGGAATTATTGAATCTGAGGGTGGTTTTGGGAACCCCCAAATTTGCAGTTGGTGTCAGAATGTGGGAGGTCGTGGAGACTGTGCCTTCAGACTTTGCAGTTTGGCTAACTCTGCATACTTAGAATTAAAAAAAAAAGCAAACTCAGAGCTAAAAGGGACCTACTCATCAGCTTCCTGGCATCTGCTCTCCTCCAAGCCTGATGCCCTTTGACCTCTCCAGCTAAAGGTCACTGGGTCCAGCCACTGCCCCAGCTGAGTGGGAAGCAGGACATCTGCTGGTAACCCTGCTTCCCCTCAGACTCTCCAGCTGACCTCCCTGACTCCTGACCCACTGTCCACCACCCCCGACCTCTCAGGTGTCACCAATCGAGCTCACACCTAGGCTGGTGACAGCTTCACATGCATGCGCACCAAGGCCATGTGCCACTTTACAGAACCTCTAACAGACTCAAGACACTTTAAGAACCATCTGGATGACTCACTAAGCCTGAAGAGACCTGCACTGGGACAGGCTAGTGAGGAAAATTCTTTCCTCTTTGGTGGGGACTTGTGAGTCTCCTCAGAGTCCCACACATTACACAAAAATGGCAGCCACTCATTGTGACTGGAAGCTGTCACTAAGCCACATTGTCTTCCCTCTGGTCACGGGCTGCACTGTGTAAAACAGAAGAGGGTCCTAAATGGCAGTGGAGAACCCCCCAGCTCCCAGGTAGGGCGTGGAGGAAACAATCCCCCAGGGCCCTCTGTGCCCAGCAGCGAGGGGATCACATCAGGGAGGGAAGAAATGTCCCCTCTCCCACTCACGGGACCTCTGCTACGTCCACAGCCTCCTCAAGTTTGTGCCCTAAGAGCCTCAGTCACCTCACTCTAGTCCCGCCTCGATGCCTAAGCCTTCCTGCTAGTCCTCCAACCTGGACCTACCCGGTTCCATGCTGAGCCCAGCTCTGACCCTGGTCCAGGCCACCCTGGGCCTTTGGAAAGGACGACTGCACTGGGTCCCCACCTTTGACCCTGCAGTTCACTCTAAGGCCTTCAACACAATCCCATCAGATTGAACTGCTAGTCCCACTGAACAGATGACAAATCTGAGACTCTGAGACATGAGCCCAAAGCCCCAGGGCTGGGCAGAGAGAGTCAGGATCCAGCCCAGCTTAGGCCAGCTGCACTGCAGCCTCCCCGCCTATGAGCCAGCAGGATGGTGATATGTTTGCCCAGTTCCTTAGACAGAGAGAGAAAGGGCTCTAGCCAGAATCCCCACGGGCACAAAATCGTTATGTCAGGATTTTTCAGGCTTTTCCCTAAGGAAGTCGTGCTTGGCTCTCATCTCCAGGAAGCAGACTCTTGCTACTGTACCCTGCCCTAGCCCAGTCACTTCCAAGCAATCTTTTTTTTTCTTTTGGTGGGGGAGATTGTCCCCAAGCCAACATCCATGCCAGTCTTCCTCCATTTTGTATGTGGGACGGCACCACAGCATGGCTTGATGAGCGGTATGTAGCTTTGCACCCAGGACGCGAACTTGCGAACCTTGGGCCGCCCAAGCAGAGCACCGAACCCAACCACTGGGTCACTGGGCCAACCCCCAGCAATCTTTTGAGAAGTTAACATTAATTGAGCACCTACTGTGTGTCAGCCATTATGCTAAGCATTTTACATGTGTTATCTTATTTTCCTCACAATAAAATTGAACAGACGAGGAAACTAAGGCAGAGAGTGGTTAAGTAATTTGCCCAAGGTCACATGACCTGACCCCTGCAGATTTCATCTGTTCTCAACCTGAGGCCAATCACTGCCAGCAAATGACAGGGAGGAACTATCGCTCATGGATTGTTGAGAAGGGAGATACTCAACCCCAAGCACAGGAGACTGCCTGGAGGAGGTGTGCCGGCCAGAAGGAAACTAGCCCTGGGGGTAATCAGGGTGACATTCATGCAGCTCCCCCTGGAGGTCACCTGGACAAATTGGCTTCAGCCACAAGTTGCTCCCAGGCTTTCTCATCAGTCAGCAGGTCCTGCAGTTCCTCTCTGCTCTCCGTGTTCCGGAAATACTCAATGACATCCTCAAGAAAATTTTCACCCTCTACGTGGAAAGAAAAAAGAATAAGATTAGAAGAAATTGTAGTAGGGTAATAAATGGTATTGCATATAAAGTGGTAAAACATTAATCTTCCCGAGCAGCTGTCACCCTGGGGTACTTTTGATGGAGTCACCTGGTGCTATGGACTGAACCGTGTCCTCTCAAAATTCCTATGTTGAACCCTGATCCCCTCCATGTGACTGTATTTGAAGACAGGGCCTTGAAGGAGATAACTGAGGTAAAATGAGGTCCTAAGTGTGGGGCTTTAACCTGATAAGCCTGGTGTCCTTATAAGAAGAGGAAGAGACAGCAGAGATCTCTCTCCCTCTCTCTCAGCCCACAGAGGAAAAGTCAGGTGAGCACAGAGCAAGATGGCGGCCGTCTACAAGCCAGGAAGACAGTCCTCACCAGAAACCAACCTGCCAGCACCTTCATCTTGGACTCCAGCCTCCAGAACGAATTCTCTAATTCCTGGGATCTAGATGTGCGTAGGAATTCAGAATTTTTAATCCTTTAGAAAGAGAATTCAGGGCACATATGGTATATTATTTACCATTGGGCAGCACCCTGAAAAGAAATGCATTTGTGTTTCAACAGTGAAACAAATGAATATTCACATTAAATGGAATCAACAATGTCATGACTATAAATGGTCTCAGGTCAGCACCAGGCAAGATCACTGCCCAAATGAGTTCCCAAAAATGTGTGGTTTGCAGGATTATGGAGATGACAGAATTGCAGATAAGAGACAGGGACTAGTGTATATGTGCACTGGGACACGGTACAAAATGTGCTTCCTGCTATACACCCACAAAGAGACATTATTCTGATTTCACAGAAGAAGAAAGCAAGGCTCAGATAGGGTAAGTGACAGCCCAAAGCCAGCAAGCAGCTGAATTCAAGGTCAAGTTCAGACGTTTCTTTGACGTTACTTTGAAGCCTCCTTATGTTTTAAAAATTCCTGGGATTTCTGCATTCGACCTTAGAGTACATCTATGGTTTTCTTTCTTTTTTTAATATGAAAGTTATGTTCCAGCCTACAGACCACTGAGTGAAACTCCCGCGCACAGAGGCTTCCTCCTGCTGATCACGCTGCTCCCAGATGGGCAGTGGAGGGGGCTCTTCGAGTGGGTGGGGGCTGGACCCTGCTGGATCCTTGGGATCGATCTGCCTCACCTCCTCCCCAAGGCTGGTCTCAGGGGTCACAGCTCCCCAAGGGCCCCTCGGAGCCCAGGCTAGCCCATTTGTGAACCAAGAGAGGTTGCTGGGGGAGGGGGAGGTTTCCACCTGGAACTAAAGGTTCCAGGTAGAGGGGACAGCAACAATGTTTTGGGAGGACCTACTGTGTGGCAGGCACTGGCCCAGGCCATGCCCACACATTATATTTCATCCTCGTAACAACAGAAGGAAGTAGTCTCATTTCACAGGTGAGTTTAGGAAAGGTGTTCCAGGTCCCACAGCTGGGAGGTGGCAAAGGCCAGACTAGGGTCCAGTTCAGTGGCATGTTGCCCCTCACAAAGCAGTCGAGCCGACAGCAGGGCAAGAGTTGGAGGGAACACCCCTGTTGGTAATCGCCCAGGGCCACCCAGAGCGGGGTGGGAGGCTGGACAGGGTGGGAAGGCAGAAGAAGCCTGCCAGTGTTGCTGGTCACCTCCTCTCCCCTCCCCACCTCGGGACACCAACTCTCCTCTAACCTCTGCTGTCCACCACCTCCCCGTGGGCTGTCCTGACCTCGCTCTGAGTCACTTGATGGACAGCATGGGAGGGAGGAAGTGGGCCCCTGGGCCACAGCACCCTGAGGAGAGGACCTGGAAGGAGATGTCCCTACAGACCTCCAGTGGGGCCTCCCCTTGGATGGGCTGGAGGACACTGATCAACCCCCTTCTTGATTCCTCTGTAGGTTAACTCAGCCTGGAAGCGCCACCCTCAATTCTAGGTCGCGAGTAGGAACCAGCAGAGAAGAGGAAGCAACTACCTGGGGAGACCCCACTGGCTTCTGAGGTCATGGTGTCACCTGCAGGATCTCAGAGTTCTCCCTGACAGCTTGCTAGTCTGCGTCCAGGCTGGAAGGAGGTGTGGCTTCACCCTTGGGGAAGAGGAAACAAATTGTGGGGTCAAATGTGAGCCAGCTGTGGCAACAGAGAGCAGCAAGGTGCCAGGTCTCCAGGTGTTCCCTCTGGGATGGCTGCAAATGCCAGAATGCACTTAACCCAAAGTGTGTCTCTGTCTCCTGGGCTCTGCTCTCTGCTGTTGAAGGAAAAGTACTCACCTCACTTCAGCTTATTCCTGAGACAAGTCAGAGTCCTATCGTCCTTGGGGGCACAAAGAGAAGACAAACAGAGAAGGAGACGGCCGTCTGAGAAGTTATAGAAGCAGTAAAACCAAACAGAGAAGAAAACATGGGAAGGGAAGTTCTGGAAATTACCTGAGCTTGGGAACATTTGCGTTTCCTAATTGATAATGGCTAGTATTGATTGAGTGCCTGTGACGTGCGGGGCTCCTACGTGCTCCCTCAGTGAACACTCACCCCCACTCCATGCGGTGGGTGCTATTGCGGCTCCCGTTTTAAAGTGGAGGAAACCATCACAAGGTTTATGTTTCGCCTAAACCCAGGTTAGCCCAAGTTTTCACAACAGCGCTAGAGCCAGGGCTTTCTGATGCAAATCCCACGTTCGTGAGGACTATTCTCTCCTCCATTTAACATGAAAATCCTTGCTTGTGTGTTTATGTTTATTTGTAAATATCCTTCTCACTCCACAGTGATGTCTTGCACCCTGTGCCCCAGTCTCTGTCTCGATAAATTTCCCAAAGCCTGTACCCTCCTTGCTTCTGTGAGATCCTCCATCCCATAAGGGCCTGGGGTCCTGCGGGGCGCTGGCCCCTCCCTGCAGCCCTGCTGTGCACCGCGGAGCCCTGCTGATGGCGCTCAGGCCCGTCTACTGTCCTTCTTAATCCCTGGACCTTAGCTTGTTTCTAATTCTTCATGTAAATAATAGTGCAAAAAACAACCTCCTCTCATGAAACTTTGCCTGCATTTGAGACTGTTTCCTTAAGATATTTCTACAGGTAGAATGACAGGGTCAGAGGGCATCAACACACAAACATTTTTTCATACCTGGAACCCCACCGTTATGCAAAAAAATTATACCAGGTTACAATCGCATTCATATATACGAGGGTCTCCATCCTTCAGTCTTAAGAGCTCTCAGTTGTCTTTTAAAAACACAGATTTTTTATGGGGCTGGCCCCGTGGCCGAGTGGTTAAGTTCGCGCACTCCGCTGCAGGCTGCCCAGTGTTTCGTTGGTTCGAATCCTGGGTGTGGACATGGCACTGCTCATCAAGCCACACTGAGGCAGCGTCCCACATGCCACAACTAGAAGGACCCACAATGAAGAATATACAACTATGTACTGGGGGGACTTTGGGGAGAAAAAGGAAAAAATAAAATCTTTAAAAAAAACCAGATTTTTATAGAGAGAGTATGTCTTTCAATTCTGTTTGTGATTATCTTGCTTTGGCAGATGAGGAAAGAAAGGTAGTGTTGATTTCGTTTAGGCCCTATTTTAAGAGGCAAAAGCACATCTGTCAACTACCCACCCTGAGCCTGACTGAAACGATAGTAAAGGTCCTGACAGGTATAACCATAGCTAATGACAAGAGCGGGTGACATTTGTGGTCTTTTCTCTGTACCAGGAATTGCTCAAAAATTTAACAAATAATAACTCATATTTTTCTAATAACCATTGAAGTGTGTGCCATTTCTATCCCCATTTACAGATAAGGAAAAGGAAGCACAGATGTTACGTGATTTGCCCAAGGTCAGAAATCCTGTAAGTGGTAGCCTGGGGTCAAGGTTCAAATGCTCCCGCTGGACTCAAGAACCCACACACCGCCTCTCCTTGCTCTGCTGCCATAACAATCAGGAATGGGGTCAACAGGAGACCAGAGACTTCAGCAGATGTTTGAAGACTGACTGGATGGGGAAGTGATGCTGAGTAAAGAGGAGAGGAGGAAGCTGCTGTCGGAGAAGCAGAGAGAGGGCACGTAGGCACGAAGAATGGCCTGCTAGGCAGAGCCCCAGAGAGGGAGACTGAAGGTGAGAGAGAGGCCGAGGGGGAAAGCAGGGGTAAGTCCACCAGCCCCACATCCCATCCAACATTCACAGCAGCCTTAGGTCTACACCAGAGGGGAAAATCAGGACAGTAAGACTGCAGAAAAAGTATCTCTGTATTTCAGCATTTAGGGGTCTCATCCAGTCACTCCACAGGGAAGCCTGCCATCACCCTCCCTCCCTCTTCAAGACAAATGGGCGTCTAGGATCCGATACACGAGAAAGACGATGTGGGGAAGGGTCACTAAGATAATCAAGAAATGACAGCAGAAGAAAAGGATACCTTTGAAAATGGGAAAAAAGTTTTTAAAACTTGCACCCTTGTCCCTAGGAAGATTAAAAAGGTATTTTATTCACAAATTAAGAACAAGATGCACTGAGAGGGGAAAACAATAATAGAACAAAAAAAGAGATCTTGGGAATTAAAAGGTGGTTGACAAAATAAAGAATCCTAAAGGAAGTTTGGGAAAGAAAGTCAAGGAAGGCTTCCAGAAAATAAAAGGAGAGAAGAAATGGAGCTAAATGGGGAATAGAAAAGTTACCATCCACAATCATTTCTTAGAGAGTTACTTGAGAATGAGTTGCAGCAAAAGACAAACAAAACAAATTGTGTGTGTGTGTGTGTGTTTATGGGGTGGGGTGAAGGATCACTGAGAGAGAGAGGTTCCAGGAATCAGGAAAATCGACCCAGAGAGAATGGAACCCAAGGAGTACAGCAAGCATGCAGCAGGCCCGGAGAGCAGCCAGTCCAAATGCAATAAGAAGCGAAGAGATCTGTGAGACAAGGAGACTTGATGTAACACCTCACACGATGTACAGTTTCAGAGAAATTGATGAAATGTTGAAGGCAAACAGTGAAAGGGGTGAAAACAAAGGCAATTCGAAATGTCAGGAAAAACTAAAGCTGTGCAATAAGCACGTGCAACTGTATTGTAGGGGGGAACTCGGCAGTTACAATGTTTAAAATATCACAAAAATAGAAACACCCTTGTTTGATTTATAACTTCTAGAACTAACAGAGCATTTAAATATGAGAACTACATACACTTGCTGCCAATCCATCTATGAATTAAAGCACAATGGTAGACGTTGGGAGGTGAGGCTCTGAGGGAGTAGAAGGAGAATTACCAGCCTCAAGTTACAATGTGGGGAACCAGGAAATGCCGGCTGAAGATGGGGCCATAAAAAATAAAGCTGTGAGTAAGTTACTTACAACTACAAAGGTTTCTAATAGAGGTTATAAATGTAGTGATAAAATGATAGCAGGAGGAGGTGGAGAGGGGTTATAAGAGAAAGTACAAAATAAGTGAAATCCTTATGTATCCTGGTAGATAGTGAATAGACAATATTAATTTTAAAAATCAAGACAAAGAAAAATGCAACAGCTAATATTTATTAGCTACTGTGTTTGATGACCATTTGCTTTCTACCAGGCAGAGTTCTAAGCGCTTGGTAGGCATTAACTCCTTTTTAGTTCTCGCAACAACTCTGAAAGAAAGGGAACAGAATTTCAGAAAGGTTAAGTTATTTGCCCAAAGCACCCAGCTAGTGCCAGAGCCGGAATTCAAATCCAGGCTTCCTGCCTCCAGAGCACACACTCACACACTATTCCATCTCCTAATGTAAGAATATTATTTAAAGATGCTGATTAACAACCTAAAGAAGAAGCTCAAAGTTAAAAACCATGGCTTTTAATTGGGAAGGGGGTGAGCAGAGTCTTCTGCACTAATTGATTTGTTTTAACCAAATGCACTTAAGACTTTGATTATTTTGTAATTTTAAGAGGGCAGAAGTCACTTTACAGTAGTTAGTAACTGCTAAGCATAGTAATGGGTTGGTTTCTGGAGCGACCACCTTAAAGATGATGGAAGCAGTTGGATTAAGTGCCAGAAAGAAATAAGAACTGTGTGACAACTGTCAGTGTGGGAGAAATCTGACTGGTCGATGACACTAATTCTCTAAGGAAAGCAGGGATGGTGACATATTAAACTAGAATAATCAGAGTGAACTCTAACCTTCAACAAATGCTTTTTCTAGCAGCACTGTGCCCACCCACACAGGCGCCCATGGGCTTTTCTGCACTCAGGGAAGCAAGACTCCTTGGAGGGGAGCTGGATTCCATGGGTCTGCAACATCTGCTACTCCAGAGGCAAGGATGCTTTCAAAGATGTTCAGAGTAGTGCTCAAAGTGGGACCCACTGGTAAGTCCTATCAAATTGCACAGAACCATACTAATAATTGATAACAATTATATGATCATGTTTAATTGGGCTGAGTTGAGTCTATGAAAGGCCATGAGTTCATAATAATATTCAGATGAGAAGAGTTGAGACAAAATATATAAGAAAAGATAGAGATAAAGGTTTACAAAAGGAAGTTGTAATGCAAAGAGGAGTTAGTATAATGGGGAAAGTTTAATTGTTGATTGATTTTAATAAGAAGGGGAGTATATATGGGCATTTTTTTTCTCTTAATTTATGTGACTCTTTACAAGGATTGAGAAAGAAAAAAAGAACAGCCCCTGACATTTGGTGGCTGACCTGGCATTCACAGCTAGGCGATGCTATTCTCCTATCGGACATAAATAATCTCACAGAAAAGCAGCCTCAGACAGGGCTACTCAGAAACCAGGACAAAATGAGACAGAGCAAGGCCACTTCCGAATTCTGTCTTAGCAGAGATAAAACCAAGATCTCTGTGCCACCCAACAGACACCAGACACTCCCTCCCTCGGCTAAAAAGAATGACTATTTCTTCTTTATGTATTATGGCTTTTTTCTCGTTCTGGTCTCCCCTCTCTAGAGACAAGAGTACTGAGACGCCCATTGACAGGATTGCCCCGCTTTCTGCAGCCCCCAATCTAGAGTGGGCCTTGTTTCCTCTGAGCCTCCCCGACCCTCCCAACCAAAGGCCAAATCATAGAGTTGGCTCTTTCTAACACCCTCCCCCTGA